CCCCAGTGCTCCCAGTTAACTCTCTGCCCCTCCCAGTTCCCCCCTCCCCTGCTCTCCCCAGTGCTCCCAGTAACCCCTCCCCAGTGCTCCCAGTTAACTCTCTGCCCCTCCCAGTTTCTCCCCCACCCTTGCTCTCCCAGTGCTCCCAGTAACCCCTCCCCAGTGCTCCCAGTTAACTCTCTGCCCTTCCCAGTTCCCCCCTCCCCTGCTCTCCCCAGTGCTCCCAGTAACCCCTCCCCAGTGCTCCCAGTTAACTCTCTGCCCCTCCCAGTTCCCCCCTCCCCTGCTCTCCCCAGTGCTCCCAGTAACCCCTCCCCAGTGCTCCCAGTTAACTCTCTGCCCTTCCCAGTTCCCCCCTCCCCTGCTCTCCCCAGTGCTCCCAGTAACCCCTCCCCAGTGCTCCCAGTTAACTCTCTGCCCCTCCCAGTTCCCCCCTCCCCTGCTCTCCCCAGTGCTCCCAGTAACCCCTCCCCAGTGCTCCCAGTTAACTCTCTGCCCTTCCCAGTTCCCCCCTCCCCTGCTCTCCCCAGTGCTCCCAGTAACCCCTCCCCAGTGCTCCCAGTTAACTCTCTGCCCCTCCCAGTTCCCCCCTCCCCTGCTCTCCCCAGTGCTCCCAGTAACCCCTCCCCAGTGCTCCCAGTTAACTCTCTGCCCTTCCCAGTTCCCCCCTCCCCTGCTCTCCCCAGTGCTCCCAGTAACCCCTCCCCAGTGCTCCCAGTTAACTCTCTGCCCCTCCCAGTTCCCCCCTCCCCTGCTCTCCCCAGTGCTCCCAGTAACCCCTCCCCAGTGCTCCCAGTTAACTCTCTGCCCTTCCCAGTTCCCCCCTCCCCTGCTCTCCCCAGTGCTCCCAGTAACCCCTCCCCAGTGCTCCCAGTTAACTCTCTGCCCCTCCCAGTTCCCCCCTCCCCTGCTCTCCCCAGTGCTCCCAGTAACCCCTCCCCAGTGCTCCCAGTTAACTCTCTGCCCTTCCCAGTTCCCCCCTCCCCTGCTCTCCCCAGTGCTCCCAGTAACCCCTCCCCAGTGCTCCCAGTTAACTCTCTGCCCCTCCCAGTTCCCCCCTCCCCTGCTCTCCCCAGTGCTCCCAGTAACCGGTTGGGCATCTCCAGGGGGTTTTGGTGGAGCTCCAAGGTCTTGAGTTGGGTGGTGGGCACCTCGGGGGGCTTCAGGTGGGTGGTGGGCACCTCCTCTGTGGCCTTGAGTTGGACATTGGGCACCTCAAGGGTCTTGAGTTGGGTGTTGGGCACCTCTGGGGGCTTCAGCTGGATGGTGGGCACCTCCAAGGTCTTAAGTTGGACATTGGGAACTTCCTCTGAGGTCCTGAATTGGACATTGGGCACCTCCAAGGTCTTGAGTTGGACATTGGGCATCTCTTCTGTGGTTCTGAGTTGGACACTGGGCACCTCCAAGGTCCTGAGTTGGGTGTTGGGCACCCCTGGGGGCTTCTGGTGGACACTGGGCACCTCCAGGGTCTTGAGTTGGACACTGGGCACCTCCAGGGTCTTGAGTTGGACACTGGGCACCTCCAGGGTCTTGAGTTGGACACTGGGCACCTCCAGGGGCTTCTGGTGGACACTGGGCACCTCCACCACTTGGTGACAGGCACTGGACACCTCCGTGGCTTGGAGCTGGACATCTGCCACCTCCATGGTCTTCAGCTGGATGTCGGGCACCTCCGTGATGCTGAGGTGGATGCTGGGCAGCTCCACCAGCTGGTGGTGGACACTGGGCACCTTGGAGGTCACCTCTGCGGGGTGCAGAGGGACACTGGGCAGCTCTGTGACTTGGAAATGGACACTGGGCAGCTCGGTGGTTTGGTGAGGGACACTGGGCACCTCGGTGGCCTGGAGATGGATGTTGGGGACCTCAGTCGTTTCAAGATGGACACTGGGCACCTCTGTGGTCTCCAGCTGGATGTTGGGCACCTCCACGGCCTGGAGTTGGACCTCAGGCACCTCGGTGGCCTCAAGATGGACACTGGGGACCTCTGAGGGCTGTGGCAGGGCTTGGAGCTGGACATTTGTCACCTCAGCAGGTTGGAGCTGGACATTGGTGACACCCAGGGGTTGTGGCAGAGCTTGGAGCTGGAGGTTGGTGACACCCAAGGGCTGTGGCAGGGCTTGGAGCTGGAGATTCGTCCCCTCAGCAGCCTGGAGCTGGATGTTGGTGACATCCAAGGGTTGTGGCAGAGCTTGGAGAGGGACGTTGGTCACCTCAGCAGCCTGGAGCTGGATGTTGGTGACCTTGGAGGGTGGTGGCAGAGCCTGGAGCTGGAGATTTGTCACTTCAGGAGGTTGCAGCTGGAGATTCGGCACCTCAGCAGCCTGGAGCTGGATGTTGGTGACCTTGGAGGGTTGTGGCAGAGCTTGGAGAGGGACGTTGGTCACCTCAGCAGCCTGGAGCTGGACGTTGGTGACCTCCAAGGGCTGTGGCAGGGCCTGGAGCTGGACATTGGCCACCTCGGTGGCTTGGAGCTGGACATTTGTCACCTTGGGGGGCTGTGACCTCCCCGGGGGCAGGACCCCACTGAGGCCACCCCTCAGGATGAGGACACTGGTCCCTGCTGGGGCCACCGCCTGGAGTTGAACCCCGGGCAGGACCTGCCCTGGGTTGGGGACCACCAGGACACTCTGCCCACCCCCAGAAGGTCCTGATCCTTGGGGACCCTTCCCCACCTGAGCTGGGGGACTTTCGGTGGGCAGGAGGGTGAGGGTGGTGGGCTCGTTGGTGGGCATCAAGAGGAGCTTCTTGGAGGGGCTGGGGATGAGCTGAAGGCCCTGGGGGGTCTGGAGAAGCAAGAAGGTCTGAGGAGGTGGTGGAGGGGCCACCTGGGGGAGGGGTTGGGGGGTCCCATGGGTGCGGAGGTGGCGCTGGAGGTAGGAGGCCATGACAAAGGCCTTGGAGCAGAGGGGACAGCGGTGGGGTCGGGTGGGCGAATAGGTCCTTCTGGGGGGA